CTACTCTAAAATCTTCAGTATACTCATACTCAGCATATTGTTTAGGATCAATTGGACTCATGGTGATGTTTGTGCCTTTCTCATAACATTCTGACCTCTGCCCTTGTATTTCACGTCAGGGGCTGTGGCTTTGTTCAGTTCCCAGATGAGCGGCTTCAGAAGCGGGCATTGGATGAGTGTCAGGGTGCTGTGGGACTTGGGGGCAAACCTCTGAGGCTGAGCCTGGCTGCTAATAAGTAAGTCATTTCCAAATGAGCCACATCAGTGTGCAGATGGATACGTGAGCAGAATCGATGCCTATCAGAGAAATTCAGCAATCTGCCCTTTTTTGCCCCCTCTCTCAGCTTAAGAAACAAGTTGCAGCAACAGCAGTCAGAAAGCAAACCGTCATGGCAGTCCAGCTCAGGATACAGACATGGCTACGACCAGTATGACCAGTACCAGCAGCAAGCATATCCAGGGTATTACTCCTCATGGGGGTATGATCAGACTGCAGGAATGTATGGTTATACTTATCCTCAGTATGACTACTCACAGTATGCCCAAGTGCAGGTGAGCTCTCTGCTCAGCAACTTCTACAGCAACTGTTTAAAGACAGTGGCCATTCTGATGTTTTGTGCTCCTTTTCTGCTTCAGGAGAGTGAAGCAGTTCCAGAGGAAGAAGCAGTTGAAGGTAAATTTTTGTATTGTAGAATCTTTTGACTGAGTGAAGAGTGAGCACAAGAATCCCTCACCAATAGAAGGCAGACAACACAATTCACCATGGCTGAAAGTATATACCTCTCTTATCCATCTTCTTCCACTTTTTCAGAGTCTGGTTTCAGGCATAGCACCCCAAGTAGGGAGGCCCAGACTTCCCTCTCCCCACTCACTTGTGTTTCAGCTCCTAAGGAAGCTGGAACACATCCCAAGGCGTTTTCTGACCAGCCAAGAGTCATAGTCCCTCCAGCGTGTCCTGAGTCTTCTCCTTGTCCTACTCCTGGTGGGACATGCCTCGGACATCCTAACCAGATGCCTGAGCCACCTCAACTGGCTCCTCTCAATGTGAAGGAGCAGCGGCTCTACTTTGAGTCACTTCTGGATGACTGAGGTTTTCACCCTATCTCTAAGGGAGAGCCCGGACATCTTACGGAGAAAATTCATATTGGCTGCTTTTATCTATGGCCTGGTTCTTTCGGTCATGACCCAAAGCTCCTGTCCATAGATGAGGGTGGGAATGTAGATCAACCAGTAAATCAAGAGCTTTGCTTTTTGACTCGGCTCTTTCTTCACCATGACAGACCGGTGCAGCATCCGCTTCACTGCTGACGCCTGTCAATCTCCCGCTCCATTCTTCCCTCATTTATGAACAAGATCCTGACATACTTAAACTCCTCCACTTGGAGCAGGATATCATCCCTGACCTGGAGATGATCTGATCTGGTCCTTTTCCAGCTCAAGACCATAACCTTGGGCTTGCAGGCACGGATCCCCATCCCACCCACTTCACATTCGGCTGCAAACAATTCCAGTGACCCGATGAAGCCAATAGGATCACATCATCTGTAAAAAGCTGAGATGCGATCCTGAAGCCACCAAAATGGATCCCCTCAACACCTCGACTGCACTTAGAAATTCTATTCGCAAAAGCAATGAATAGAATCGGTGACAAAGGGCAGCCTTAGTGGAGTCCAACTGTCACAGGAAACCAGCCCGATGCCGGCAATGCTGACCAGATTCTGACACGAGTCATGTTCCACAACCAGGACAAAAACCACACTGCTCTTCCTGAATCCGAGATCCGACTATCCAATGCACTCTCCTCTTCAGGACCCATCAATATCTCCCATTTCTCTTGGAGATGGGAGTTAAAGCTCCGTCTCACAGGCCCTCACAATACATTTGGGCTGCCAGGTCTGACTGGCATCCTTCCCCTGTGTATATGTCTCATTTCTAACATTTAGAAATGTTAATGATGGCACAAGAAAACTGTCAAAACAATATAAAATATCAAAGCAATATTGTTGCTGCTGCAAAATAGAGATAACTTCTGTCTGGCTCCTGTATTGCTCTACATCTAAAAAAAGACAATTTGGTTAATATTGACGAAAACATAAAAATGGCTGCTTCTCATAACTGATTGCTTTGTATAAAAACTGGTGCAGCCAATCGATTAAGAAATGTAATCAAATTACTGATACACCAGTCCTGTAATTGATCATTATGTTTAAATGTAATGTAGAAATGTTAACTATAAGATGGTTGTGATTTGATGGAAGGATAATATTTAGGCTACATTCTGCCTTAGTATTAACCAATCATTCATCACTTTTTTTTTCATGAATTGTTTTGCCATAAGTGGACCTCATTTGACAGGAAGAGGGAAAAGATATGTGCAAAGAAACCGAGGATGGAATTCTTTGCTGAGATGGTTGCATGGAGGTGTCCTCTGGACACGGGGATGCTCGCTCTGACCGCTGTTTTTTTTTTTAAGTGAAATTTACCACTGAGTACATCAGTCTAAATCCTCGCTCATCTTTATTTATTCACCTTTGTGACTTTGCATTGTTGTATGGAGTACAAGACCATGTAAAAATGCACTGCTTTTAACTGGGTAACCCTCCATAGGAGAGGATTTTAGGTCAAAATATGTAATGTGATTAATCTCTGCTATGCAATATTAATGCGTTAAACTTTTTATATTAGTCACACGCATTAACAGCGTGTGACTTGGTTGCCCTAATAAAAACTGAAGTGGGAGGTGGCTGTTCAGTTTGTAACACAGATCTTTGTCGTTTTGTTGCAGATCCCAGCCTGGTGGTGGATGTAGTGGAGACCAACAGAAGCTTTATTGACCTCAGTGAAGAACTGTACGATGCAATCATAGACTGCCACTGGCAGCCTCCAGAGTTCTCTGCAGAACAAGACTATATTGTTTCCAACCTGCCTGACCCCATTTCCATCTAAAATATATTGTTTTCAATTAAGTTTCAATGTTTTAATTTCTGAAACACTGAGAAAATAAATAGTTTTATTCATAAAATGTCTGAGTTGAGAAAAATCTCAAAAGTTCAGTAAGTTAACTTTATCTCTCTTCAGTCACCATCTCTGCATTTTATGTAACACATTCAGGGGGCTAAACAATGGAAGATGAGAAGCTTAAATGTGTTGGTATAAAGTCTGAGCAAAACAATGACTAGATATTAGGAATTGAGAATATGAATTGTGAGCATACATCTGCCATAGTATGTCACCAATAATAACTCAATAAATTACAGAACTGAAAATTTTGCTGAAAATGTAAAACCTCCCAAGTTATTTATAGAGCAACAAAAGGAACAAGGAATATTATTGGTACATTTTTTATGTTAAAACACTGCCAGGTTTTATTTTCCATGGTTTCCAGTTTAGCAATTCAAATCTACCTGCCAGCTTCTGGGAGAATGTCCTTTGAACAGATGAGACAAAAGAGTCCGAGCTCAACCAAATTGGGTTTTTTAACAACTTGCTTTGGTCCAGAATGTTTAAAATAAAACACTTGAAGTTTATTGTCCAAATTCACTTTTTTCAGTCCTTAAATGCAGTTGGGGGTTTTTGTACTTTGGGAGTCTAGAAATGCAGAAATAAATTACATTTATTTTCTCCTGATGCTGCATAGATCTTTATATTCTTTTTTCTGTTAAATTTCTCTATTGCCATGTAAGCAACATTTTCTTTATGATTGCTAAACTAGGTTATGACTTCCAGCTAATCCGTTTTGTGAACCCATCACTTTTTTCCTTTTGCAGCGATGTAGTCCAAGTTCAAACTATTAAAATAGTCAAACAAGGTGAAAGGGAACACTGGAGGTAGCATGGCATAAAATGTCTCATTCACATTGAAAACATAAAAACAAACAAAAAAACAGCAAAACGAGTTGCTCTAAAACTTCACGTCGCAACAGATGTAAACGAGCTGTGGATGTGGAGATACAATAACCAGGAATTCAGACCAAATCAGTTCTACTTTATATAGACCATAAGTGAATCAGCTACATGTGCAAAGAAAGAATTTAAAAGCATATGTCCACTTTAAATTTAGAACTCTTCAGACTTGATTATGCAAAACTGGTCCTCTAGCACTAGGTGGAACCAAATAGCAGTGTTCATGACTTTCTGTGCAACACTTTGACAAAATCAATTCCATTTAACCCAGGGTTCCCTAGCAATAAGTATACAGAATGATGCAATAAGTTTATGTTAAAACTTATTTTTCATTATATCCCTAAGACAAAATTTCTTTCAAGGCCACAACAGAATTTTCAGATGTCTTCCCTTTTATAAGGCTTTCTTGGGGACTAACATGTCTCCATCCTTGCTTGACACCTGGTTCACATGGGACCTAAAAGTTGACTTGTCTTCCTGAAGTTCTGAGCCAATGTGTAGGGAATTTGTGGATGCCACTTGTTTCTAAGAAAGGCTTCTTGTGACTGAGGAGCATGGCATGTGGTCAATTCTACTTTTGTAAAGAAAAGCATCAACAGCGGACTGCAGCCAAAGGGAACAAGTAACGGTGAGCTTATGAGAAATGTGGAGAAGTTGTCTTTGAAATGTATTGGAGTGAAAGTTGTAAGTTCTCCAAAAAGAGAAAAAGAAAACACTGAAATAAAAGTACTCAGAAACTATACTTCATTACTCAGGCAGATGTACTTTGTTACTGGCCACATTATTATACATGTAAGCAACATTGAAAGCAGCTGGTTTTGGAATTTTATAAGTTAATGAGATCAGTACACTATTCAATAAAGATTTTGATTCCGCCTGAAGAAACTTGCAAAAGATGAGATCCTGTTGCAAAAACAAAAATGCTAAATTTAATTTTCGTTTGGTATTAAAGTATTTTTTTATTATTATTTGAATTGGATTAACCCATTCATCACTGTCCTGAACAATTGATACATAACCATTACTTAATTAATTTAATACTTAATGTAGTCACCCAAAATATTGTCTCATTGGCTCGACTATGTATTTTCATTTTTTCGCAAATTCATACTGATGATGTCTCTAATTTGTTTATAATTCTCAACACATTTTGTGTTTTTCAATTATTTTCTCAAGACAATCTAGAGCAGCTCTGATAGGTTCTGCTTTCAGAACGCTTGCTGCATTTTCAATGAGCCTAACGCTGCAAACCTGATTTCGAAAATGTGAACAGAATCAGGAATGTTGTTGAGTTGACTGCCGGATCATGCAGAAACAAACGGCTGCAGGCTCTGAGTGGAGCGGGAGGCAGGGAGGGGCAGCGCTCTGCGGGGCACAGCGATCTGCGGGGCACAGCGATCTGCGGGGCACAGCGATCTGCGGGGCACAGCGATCTGCGGGGCACAGCGATCTGCGGGGCACAGCGATCTGCGGGGCACAGCGATCTGCGGGGCACAGCGATCTGCGGGGCACAGCGATCTGCGGGGCACAGCGATCTGCGGGGCACAGCGATCTGCGGGGCACAGCGAGCTGCGGGGCACAGCGAGCTGCCAGACACGGTGCTTTGTCCTTCACTCCCACACCGATCAGGATGGATTGGCATACGGGCAACAGTTGGAATGACTTTAGCCTGGGCTTTACGTATCGCCACTGATTTATCAGTTCAGATCGAAGAGGGGCACCCAAGTTTTCTCAAGTGACCGGCTGCTAATTGAATCGATCATAATTTCTGAAAGAGAATTTTGTATTTTATCATCAGGCAGAGTGAGAACTGCAGTCAGATCAACTCGCTTGCCGAGGACTGCGCCGGATTGACGCTGCGTTGGTTGGGCAGCTGGAGGCTGAAGTCCGGGATGCTGCAACCCGGACAGACTGGGAATCCTGCTCGGTCTCTAACATCCCAGCACAGCACGTCGCGGTACGACAGCCTGAGATTGCTGATCGCCAAGGTAAATACAAAACGTTTTTGTCCTTTCAAATCAGAAGCTGTAGACGAGTTTTTATGATTGACTTTATGCAGTAAGCTCGTCCCCACGGCGCTGCCGTCTCTGTGGCGTTCAGGAAAGCTTGTGAGGCTTTTGCATCGCACACAACTAAATATATAAGTATTATTACGTTTTATTTACGTATCACACCCAAGAAGGTCATCAGACAATGAGCTCTCCATAAACATTTATTGTCATCATGTAACTTTAGAGCTATCTGGCTTTTAACTGTCTGCCTCACACAGAGGGAAGACAATAAATAAATAATAAATATGATCACAGCCACACTCAGTTCTGCCTCCCGCAGAACAATGGGGGTCAAAGTGCATGAACACTGTGGTCAAGTGTTGGTGTCAACTGCGCTCAGAACCCATGAATGGCTATTCTTTGTAGATAAAGTTGTCTGCTCAGATAAACAATGTGATGTGAAATATATCATCTTATTAACCCTGCTGCAACAGACACGTTTAGTCAGAATGTAAAGCCATCCAATGTCATGGAAGTATTAAAAAATATGCAATGTGTAATCATAGTTATGTATACTTATGAAAAAATGTTGCACCTCAGATTGCATCCTTGATCATTTTAAGTGAAAATTGGTATGCAGTGTCAAAATCAGATTTTGATAATCAATAAAGATGATTTTCACACAAATATGCACTAATTAATCAATCAATCAATCAATCAAATTTTATTTGTATAGCACATTTCAGCAGCAAGGCATTTCAAAATGCTTTACATCATAAACACAAAACACAAAGTAATGCAACATAGAATCAACAACACATTGTTCCATCATTACATTTTTAATTGATTACGTTTCAAATCAAACTCTAAACAGCTGGTTTTTAGTCGAGATTTAAAGGAAGTCAGGGTTTCAGCTTTTTTACAGTTTTCTGGAAGTTTGTTCCAAATTTTTGGTGCATAGATGCTGAAAGCTGCTTCTCCTCTTTTGGTTCTGGTTCTGGGGATGCAGAGCAGAACCAGAACCAGAACCTGAGAGTCTGGAAGGTTGATACAACAACAGCAGATCTTTGATGTATTGTGGTGCTAAACCGTTCAGTGATTTGTAAACTAACAACAGTATTTTAAAATCTATTCTTTGAGCTACAGGGAGCCAGTGGAGGGACTTTAAAACTGCTGTTATGTCTCTATCTTCCTGGTTTTAGTGAGAACAGGAGCAGCAGCTTCTGGATCAGCTGCAGCTGGAGGATTGATTTGTTGGACAGGCCTGTGAAGACGCCGTTGCAATAATCAATGCGACTAAAGATAAACGCATGGATGAGTTTCTCTAGATCTGGCTGAGACATTAGTCCTCTAATCCTGGAGATGTTCTTCAGGTGATAGAAGGCCGACTTTGTAATTGTCTTTATGTGGCTCGCAAGGTTCAGGTCCGAGTCCATCACGACTCCCAGGTTTCGGGCTGATCACTAGTTTTTAGTTGTAATAGCTGAAGCTGTGCATTGACTATAGATCTATAAAGATAGATCTATAGCTCTAGATCTGTAGCTCAAGATCTGTAGCTCTAGATCGTTCTTCTTTAGGTCCAAAAATAATGACTTCAGTTTTGTTTCTTTTCAGCTGGAGAAAGATAAATGCTTCGAACACTTATCTGTTCTAAGCATTTATTCAGCGATTGGATGGGGTCAAAGGTCACCTGGTGAAATCATAAAGTAGAGTTGAGTATCATCTGCATAGTTATGGTAGCTAATATTATTTCCTGTTATAACCTGAGCTAGTGGGAGAATATAAGTATTGAATAAGAGGGGTCCTAGGATTGAACCTTGGGGTACCCCACATGTGACCACTGAAACAAAGAAATCCCTGTTCTTTATGTAAGATTTAAACCAGTCGAGCATCGAACCGGAGAGTCCGACCCAACTCTCCAGTCGATTCAGTAATATGTCAAAAGCTGCACTGAGGTCCAACAGAACCAGCATTGTGGTTCTCCCACTGTCTGTATAAATACAGACAGTTCAGTCATTGAATACTTTGACTAGGCCAGTGTCCGTGAGCACGGAAACCTGATTGGAAAGAGTCAAAGCAGTTGGTCATCATGAGGAAACTATTTAATTGTTTAAAAACATTTTTTTCAATAACTTTGCTGATGAATGTGAGGTCAGAGGTCGGCCTGTAATTCTGCAGTAGTTCTGTCCAGATTGTTCTTTTTTAGCAGTGGTTTGATAACTGCTGTTTTCAAAGCCTGGGGGAAAATGCCTGATGTGAGCGATGAGTTACTATTTGGATCAGATCAGTAACAATAACAGGCAGGACTTTCTTAAAGAAATGTGTGGGAAGGACATCCAGACAGTAGGAGCTTGAATTTAATTGACCTAATTTCTTCTAGGGTTTTATAATTAAGTAGTTGAAAATGGGTCATTTTTTCTGTATTTGTTTTGTTTGGGTACAGCAGTGGTTTTGGCTTTAGAGTTGATGTGCAGATTAATCCTCTGATTTTTTTGAATTTTCTCTGAAAAGAAGCTGGAAAACTTGTTCCATCAGCATTAGATTGAGTTCAGGTGGTAACGTCACAAGAGGGTTTGTGAGCCTGTCAACTGTTGCAAATAAAGTTCGAGCATTGTTGATGTTTTTGTTTATGACATCTGCAAAGAAAGCCTCCCTTGCATGTTTTAGTGTTAAGTGATAGTTACGTAGTCTTTCTTTATAGATGTCATTATGAACGTAAAGTTGAGTTTTACGCCATTTTGGTTCTGTCCTGCAGCAGTGTTGTCTTGCAGACCAAACTGTTTGTGCTTTTCTCCATGGAGATTTCTTCCTACCAGACACCTTTACTTTAATTGGGCCAATAGAATCAATGATATATGAAACTATAAACTGAAAATTATCTACCAACTTATCTACATCATTACAGTTAAGGGTGAGGAAGAAGAGTAGATTTGATTAAATGTTTTCTGTGAAAGAACGTTTTGTGACAGCAGCTGTTTGTCCAAGCGGGTCAAACAATAAACAACTTTCAAAGTGATCCAACAGAGCGACATCAGTTACAGAGACATTAGAAATATTCACACCCTTACTGATAACCAGGTCCAGTGTGTGTCCTTGAGTGTGTGTTGCTTGTTTGACATGTTGTGTTAAACCAAAATTTTCTAAAATATTAAAAGCTTTTTTGCCCCTCTGTCTTGGGGTTTGTCCACATGAATGTTGAAATTACCAACAATTATTAAGCAATCATAATCAATGCATATGATTGATAGATCATTCAAGTAAGTAAAGAAATTTTCCACGTATGTTGGAGTTTTGTATAAAGTTAGTGTCAAAGTTTGTTTGAAGCCTTCAACCTGAATTCCAAGATACTCAAAAGAACTGAAATGACCCAAAGAGATTTTACTACAGTTTATGGTTTTCTTAGATATTGCAGCCACGCCTCCTCCTTTTTTATGTTTTCTTTTCTCACTTAAAAAATTGTAGTTAGGAGGCGCTGATTCAATTAGTACAATTTGGTCATTATTGTCATTCAGCCATATTTCTGTCAGAAACATAACATCAACATTTTACTCAGTGACAAAATCATTAATTAATAGAGCTTTAGCACAGAGAGATCTGGTATTTAAAAGATACTTTAAGTGACTTGCAACCAAAAAAAATTTCAGTCTGAGGTTTGAATTAGGACCACTGTATTTCATATTTCTGTTTTTTGTCAATTTTCTTGTAGTGATCCGGACAGGTAATGTCCTGTTCTGCAGTGCCGGGGGCCAGACACATTCTGGAGGAAGACGGGTGTAAAGATAATATCTGGACCCCTGTTTCAGATCTCAGAAACGCAGAGTAAAACATATCCTTAGTCTCAAAATGTGATGATGTAAAAATTACTTAAAGCTAAGATTAGATTCACTTCTCAAACAACACAAAACCATCTGTTCAATTCATTTATGTTTTTAAGAAGCCATGAAAGGACCTTGACCTTTTGGGGGTTTTCCATTATGTTTTGTTCTTTACCACTGACAAACCATCTTGAAAATAATGTGACCTCAGTTCAAAATTGACAAGGAAGTCCTTGAGGTTGAACCAAGAGTTGTGAGATGGGAAAAAAGCTTTAGAAACAAATGAACGACAGCAGACAAAAAGAGGGAGGTAGGGGAAGTTTTATTTCATCTAAAAACAAAGTAAAATGTAAAAAGCTGATATTACAAAAATCAAAACTCTTTAATGATGTCAGTTTAAAAAGTAAAGGTCAATCAAATAGGCTAACCAAGTCTAACATTTAATGTTTTATTCTTTTTTTCCTGTCCCATTTTCACAAGATTCATAGTATGAACCAAGTCCAATTTTTAACTTATTTTTCTGAGCTATTTTTCTGTTTAAGTTTCTTAAGGAAGGTTGTAAGAAATAAATCATTGTATTAATATATAAAGCAGACTGATGAAAGTTTTTTTTCACTTCAACAAACATACTGCAGAAAATACATTTTCTTCATCTGTCCATAAATGTCCATAAAAATGTCCATAAATATTCTTCAGATGCTGTAATAGTTAAAGGAAAATTTCATATCTGAAAGTAAATTATCTGTTTATAAGATCACATTATCCACTTCTCCAGATTCAGTTCATGCCAAAAATATTTCCCCAAAGAGAAATGAACTTTTGCAATTCAAATGACCCAAGTTTCCTCAAAGAATGATTGTGATGGATATTAAAGGGATCTCCTTTAGCAGTCTCCATTACAGCAACATTGAAGACGCCTCTGACCAAAGACATCCTAGTACAATTTTGTGAAGAAGATCCTCAGGGTTGTCCATTATATTATTTATTTTTTTCGTGCATTGCTCTGTTCACAATCAGTTCCAAAGGTTCCAGACAAGTCCAGAGGACAGAGCCGTCTTTCCTTAACACCTGTTTAGAATTTTGAAGGCACAGACTGTGATGCTGCTATTCCCACCAAAACATTCTTCACAACAGACTTACAGAAGATCTGCAGCATGTTGGAGCAAAAACTGAAAGACTTAAACTTTCTTCAACAGTACCTTGTATTCTATGTGCAGCCTAAATATGGGTGGTTTCCTAAATGGATGCCTCCAAGGCCAAAGCAGAATGTATTGATTTTTTCAACCTCACAATATTAAAAAGAAAAGATGGGAAGAAAGAGGAGCAGGTCAAATTAGCCAACATGCCAAAAAAGAAGAAACATTTGGTTACATTCACACTACTAATTTGACCTCCTTACTAAATAAATATCTGAAAATTTCTGCAACCAAATTAAAAATCAATGCCCCAATTTAGATTTGGGGCATTGAGTCTCTGCCTCAAAAGGAGTAAGTTGAAGTAGTCTAGGTTGCTGATCAGGATGCTCTGAGGTTTTCCAGAACAGACAGATGGATGGAATGGACCAGCAAGAGTCTCTACTTGATTGGAGAGACAAAACATTTGTGGTATTTAAAACTTGAGGCTGAGCACTTGACCTTTTTTATTATTTTCGGTTTTCTGGCAAGAATCTAATGATAAGTTATAATAAATCAATCAATACGTTTCACTAAATATTCCTGGATTCCTACATTAGTTTGTGATATATGTTGCTTTTCCGAGCATAAAAAATGTAATAAATAACCAAAGAAATTACATGCAGTAAGATAATTCTGTAAAAAATTATGTTTATGAAAATAACATTTTGACTTGTTATGAATGCATGATTTATTCTGCTGTCTTTTTTTGTCATATGATGTGCAAAAATTTTATGAGCTCTAGAGTTATTCAAAAAGGTACATAATTAATTAATTAATTCATAAATATTACAAACATTTTTTATGATATCTAAAATTTGGGGTTGTCAGAAAAAATATTGCATGACAAATATAGTTTCATCCAATTTTGCATCCTTATCACCAGAGTTGTGTTTCCAATTTGTACTTGGAAATGACACTCAGATAAATTCTATTATAATTAATCTTTATATTTTGCCTGGTGGTTTAAGTGGTAGCTGCATTAATTCTTGAAATGTACTTTTCTCACAGGCTTCTGGCAGAGTTTAAGCAGGACGAAACTGTGCCATGAAGACTGAGATGTGGAGAGGCATTAGACCACCATCTCCTTCCTGCAGACGGAAGTCGCGTTTCTGTCTACGAGGCAGAATGAAGAAGGACAGGGTGATTCAAGGCAAGCTTCGCATCCGCTCTATGCCCGGAGCATTCCTGGTTCTGGGGGTTATTGTTGTAGCTGTTGGCACTGCTCTGGCTGTAGCTGGTTACTGGCCCTATCGGTTTTCAAGGTCATCGATGGTAGAAGATACAGAACCGGAAAGCATTTCGGATCCGCAGCCATCCAGTTGGAGCCTGGGTACCAAGGGGCTCTTTTCTCCTGGCAGTCTCCTCCATGGTGACCGCATGAAGCTCCTGGGGCCAGTAATCATGGGAGTCGGACTATTCATCCTGATATGTGCAAACACTGTCCTATATGAAAATAGAGATAGAGAGTCTCAGATGCTGCTAGCTCAGATGCACAATGTTATCTGCTCTGTATCAGCAGCTGTGCCCTCTGCAGGCCTCAGAGACTTGGCAGTAGCTAACTCTATGACCAAACACTATCAGTGGGTAAGCAGTCTGCCTGCTGCTCATCTCAATATTATGTGTCTGCAGCAGCTGGCATGCTCTGAGCCCCTACTGCAGACCACCTATATCAGGGATTCACATCCAGAGGAGGGCGATGTAGAAGGCATCTACCAGCAAACAGACCTGAAGACAGAAGCTCTGACTCATCACAAAGAGTCAGAGCCTGGACCCTCACCCCCTTCAACCTTGTGTAAGTTATGTGATCACTGCCAGGTAGACAGTAATTCACAGACAGGGGAAGAACTGTGGAGCAAACACTGTTTCAGTTTACCGACTGCCCCACTCCTCAAGCTTAATTTCTGCCTTGTGTCTGCTAGTTCCATGTCCAATCTTAAGCTGGAAGAAGTGGATTTTCCAGCTGCCCAACACAGGCGTTGTCAGAGTATGAGCTACAGGACTAAGCCTAACAAAGCCCAAATTGGGCTGCACTTTGAGAAGGAACTCTTCCCATTCAAAAAGAACATTCAGACAAATCAGCTCCAAATCAATAACAACGAAATAAGTTCCCAGGCTTGTGTCAGGATCCCTGTAGAGACGACAGATGCAGAAGAGGATCAAACCGGTGGAAGCTGGCCTCGACTAGAACTGGGAAGTGGGAGACGATACCTGAAACTGGAGAACAAAGAGGACTCTGTGGACAAACTCCTGGACCAGTTGGAGCATCAGTGTTCCTACTGGGATAAGAGTTTTGGCTCTGGGCCATTCCAGTGACAGATGATGGACTAAAAAATACCTGAAAAATAATTAAATAAAATATTTTTCTATTTTCAATCTTAAAATATTTGGAATTAGATAACAAATGATGTTATACAATATAGACTAAATTATTTACCAGCAGAATTTCCAAAAATTACTTTGTTGGTGAAGTGTTGAAGAGCAACTATGACTTTTTAATTTGGATGGAAGTAGTTGAAGCTTTACATTTTTAAAGAGAAGAAGCATCACAAAGTGCTTGCTGAAGAAAAGTGGAGATATTGCTTGCCTTTTCAGTTTGGTTTGGTAGTAAAACCCATTCGTTTCTTGCCAAATGGATGGGTTTATTTCCCATACAAAAATTGTGCACCGGTGTAATGACACACAGTAGAGTTACTTCTCTATAAACATTTCTGAACCAATTTATCAGGGCTCATGAGGCCATAAAGTGCTGACAGCTCTCAAAAAAATGGAACTGCTATATAAAATGGGACATCTTTTCTTATGTCTCTAATGACAAATGCAATGCATGTTACAATAGAACACATATGCAAACTAAATGTCAATGAAATGTTGTTCTGCTATTTGTCCAAAATAATTGTAACCTTTTCTACAACTTGGATCTTATTTTCTTGTTTGGCAAATATTTGTATTGGTTCTGATTACACTATTTTATCGTTTTTGTCCTCCCTTAATGCCAGTTCACGTGGCATATTGTGACGTCAATGTTTTAACTTTGAGCTACTCTTCCAAGTATGCACTCATAATGTAGTTTCCTTGTAACATGCACTTTGTGAAACTTAGCATTTTCAACACATCCAGTAAAAGGTGGGATCTAAGTTCTTTAAGTCAGTGGTCCCCAACCTAGCCTAGTTGGTTGGTTAGGGGTCTCCAGGCTTAAAATAACACACTGTTGAAACAGAAACTATTTAAACACATTTTAACATCTGTAGACTTTGAGAGCCACTTTATGAAACATGCATATCTTTTGTTTTATTTTTACTTCAGTGAAGTTACGCAACTCCCCTGACCAAACATACTTCACTGAAGGTATGTTTTTAGTGAATGCATGGTATATTTTTACCTCTGTTAATGGTCACGTTTTCATGTCCTGTACACATTGAAAAAAGTTCTGTTTTTGATTTTTTTTTTCAAAAGTAACTTTTAACATAATCTAATGTTTACTTTTGCTGTAGAGTCAACTGTAGACAAGACAGTTGTTCTAGAGGTTCAATCTAGATCATATGTGTCAAACTCAAGGCCCGGGGGCTGAATCCTGCCCGCTGTAGCTTTTCATGTGGCCCCTAGACTCCAAATTACATCAATAAGTCCTTCCAGTTTTTAACAAATCTGCAAAATTCCCACAAAATCAACAGATTCTCCAATTTATTTTTCATATGTTACAGTAAATTTTTTCAAAATTGGCCAGAAACATGGAGTTTAAGTGACAGCTGCCTTGTCTAACTTGATATGAAGTTTTAGTGTGTAACTGATACGGCGAGTAACAAAAAGTCACTTTTAACACATTAGAGCAAATATCACAAAAAATTCTTACAAACATCTCTAAATTGGCACCACAAAATCTATAATGTGATTGCAAAATAACCCAAAACACTGAAACAAAAAACAACAATCACAAAATCTTGGAGGAACATCTCCGTATTTATTGATAATTTAACTATTTATTTGGTTTTATCAATACATTCTGGCCCAACCAGCCCTTAAGAACATTCAAATTTTTGATGTGGCCCAAAATGAAAATGAATTTGACAGCCCTGATCTAGAGTTTTTATGAATGCTATATGGCTTATTGTGCAACACCTTCAGCTTTAACATTCACTGTTAACATTGGAAACTAGATGGAAATGAGTAACAGTGTTAAGCACTTATATTTCCTGTGATTAAGTAACATAGTGCCTCATCCTGTGATTAACATTGTTGTTAAGATCCAAAGTTTTTAAATAAGACCCAAGTCGTAAAAAGACAACCATTTTTGTGCCATCAGTATTTTCTTATTATTAACATGAATGGTTTTTAATTGATTGTGAGTGTGTCTGTGTTTATGTGGTCACCACACTCACAGACATCCTTTACTTTCTCAGCCCTTGATCTCATCCTCTGATTTCAAAGGAAGATTGGTTCACAAGTCCACCTGGATCTTGGGTAATTCTTAATGTCTGGGTGAGTTCCAGCATTCTGCCTTTCATGTTTCAGTGTTTGTGCTATTTGTTGTATTATATCAAACTCTTAAATGTATGCCAAGCAATATGATCAATCTGACAGAACAGTCAATAGTAGTGTTTTGCCTTGTGTACGTAGCAGGTTTAAATGTTATGTTGCTAATATTAAACGTTCAGTTAGTAGGAGATTTAAAAAAAAAAAATAGCACTCTACATGTCAAGACAGATATCAGCTTAAATCAGAGCTGTGCTGTTGATGTCTCAATTAAAACTGTCCAAAAACTGTCCCTGGTGTACATTTTTCATGCACACACACATCTCTCTGCAGAAATGAATCAGTGATGATACTTTTTCCTTTCTGTTTCACAGTAAGAGCTTCTTCAGATGTAAGATCAGGTAGTGATTGGAGGTTCTGTTTAGTGGAAACCCTCTTGTGGTCATTATCCTGAGCTGAACATGGAACACACTGATTTATTTTTCTATCATTAGGTTTAGCAGATTGTAGGAGTGCTCTGGGGCAGGAGCATGTCATCTCATTTGATTGGTCATTTAAAAGATGGCTTTTAAGTTCTAATGGGTTATAAAGCTTGCCCACAGGATCTCCTTCCTCTGACACCAGAAACACAAGAGTACTGCAGATTACTGCTTGGAGTTAAAGCTGTAGAATATATCGTTTTAAAAAAGTATGTTTTTACATAAGTTGAAACTGTCAATATCTTGTGACAGTATAACTGATAATATTCTTAATCTGCGAAACAGATTAAGAATATGTGTCAGAATAACAAACATTATTTACTTGTTTATTCATTGTAAGGTTTCATGTTGTTTTCAGATGGCCTATTTTACATATATTGTCCAGTAAAGCAAACAAAGCACTGCGGCGCATCGGCTCATGAATTGAATAATAGGATGGAACGCCTCAGTGCTGCATGAAGATTCGTCTTGCCATCACTCTCTCGCTTTATAATTCACTATACCATCTTGATTGACAGAAGGTTTCTTAAGGTTTAACCACAGACACTTTAAAATCTCATGGTATGTGCCCATTTGCTAAAGGTAGATATCTAAAATAGGAATGAAAATGAAGGGGAACATGTCTTTAAATAATTTGATTGGGTGGTTTGGTCCAACATGTAAGTTGAAAGTATGGAAGTAGGTAATATTTGTGGTAACTCAGAAATCTCAACTGACTGAGCAAACCTCCTTTGGATGATTTACTTGTTTTTTATAGGCTAGATCTGGGGTAGGAAATCTCAATCCTCAAGGGTCGTGTCCCTTAACTCTTAGACGTATCCCTGGTCCAACACACTTCAATAAAAAAGCCTGATCACCTCCTAAGTGCAGTTAAGTTCTCCAGAGTCCTGGCAATGACCTCATTATTTGACTGTGTTTAAGTAGAGAGACCGGCCCTCAGGGACTGGAGTTGCCCACCCCTGGGCTAGATTGTCTAATGCTACACACAATGAGAAAAAAGAATATCAATTTGAGAAGGGCTAAATATCAAATTGCTGCCTTCCATGTTTAATTCTGAGAAAATTAAACATGAAACAGATTATTTAAATGCTATTACATCATTCTTTGCCCTTAGCAATAAGGTCATTTTTATGTATTCTTGAGTAAAAGTATATCAAGACCATGTAATTGTGGTGTACTGATGTCGTATAGAAAGTATACTAATTAACTACTTCTAACAAATTTGGGGCATTTTTAAGTTTACAAAAATACTTTAAGTGTTCATTTACTCCGTGTTCCAAATTATTATGAAAGTGATATTTTCTGAAATGGTCAATGCAAATGATGGTCAGTATAATTTTCAAGTCATGAACTATTATAGTATAAATCAAATTTTAGAGACCAAAGCTACCCAAGAGAACAGTACTTCTTTCAAAAATAAAAAACTCAAAATGTACTGTTCCAAATTATTATGCACAGCAGTTTTTCTAAACATTTCATGGATAATGACCTGCAAACGACCATTCTTTGAATGTGCAGCATTAAGTGGCCACATGTACTAAAATCAAAAGCTATTTCAACCCAAAACATCTTAAGAGACAGAGTGAATATTGGACCTTCTTATTGGACCTTCTTTGATATCAACTGCCCAATTCTTGCATCCAACTTGTGAGTTTGTGGAAAGTTTCTGCTTGAATTTCTTTGCAGGTTGTCAGAAAACCTTCCCAGAGCTGCTGTTTGATATGAACAGCATCCCACCCTCAAATCTTCTACTTGAGGAAACTCCAAAGGTTCTCAATAGGGTTGAGGTCAGTGGAGGATGGTGACCACATCATGAGTTTTTCCCCTTTTATGCCCATAGCAGACAGTGACAAAGTGGTATTCCTTGCACCATGAGATGGTGCATTGTCATGCATGAAGATGATTTTGCTACAGAAGGTACGGCTCTTCTGTCTGTGCCATGGCAGAAAGTGATCAGTGAGAAAGTCCATATACTTTGCTGAGGTCATTTTCACGCCTTTGGGGACTCTGAAGGGGCCGACCAGCTCTCTCTCTCTCTCCATGAATTCAGCCCAAAAAATGACTCTACCTCCTCACAGCCGTGTTGGGACATGGTGGCCGTCCACTACTGCGTCCATCTGGACCATTCAGGGTTGCGCAGCATTGAACATCAGTGAACAAGTCTGTTTGAAAATTAAACTTCATGTATGACTGGGCCCACTGCCACCATTTCTGCTTGTCAGCTGGGTGGGGTGGCCGGATAGTAGGTTCATCACCGCAAGCCTCTGGAGGATCCTCCACCTTGAGCTTCCAGAGGAACCAGCAGCTTCAAATAACTGTTTGCTGCTTTGTAAGGGCATTTTAACAGCTGCTCTCTTAATCCCATCATTATGCCTTTATCTGTACAAACCCATCTTTGTTCTGAATTAGCCACAAATCTCTTAACAGTACGATAATGCTTCAGTTTTCATTAAATATCTAATGTTTTCATACCTTGTCATACAACACTACACTATGATGATTTTTGTCACCACAGAAATTCTTTCTCCTTCCCACATTGCTTGAAACCTGTGGCCTGCTTAATAATGTGGAACATCCTTCTGAAGTAATTGAGCTTAATTGAGCTCACCAGACAAAATAATCAACCAGCTCTCTGAAATTATTTATAGTGATTCCACAAGAAAGCTGACACACAATACCTGTCAAGTTCTTTTCTAATTTGTGCAGCTTCCCCACTTGAGAAGGGATGGATAAATCGATGCAAACGACTTTCATCAACAGGGTTTTACTCAAAAGACCAAGCAGTTTTCTTAATTTTATCCTCCATTTATTTAGTGTATGTCAGGATATGTTCACATTTGGTCCAGAAGCAGGTAAAAACCTTCAAACAAAGCCAAAAGAAGAAAAATAAATAATTACTTATCTGTATGTAAGTTTACACAAAGAAAATGACAACAAACCATATAAATAATACTAAGCAAACCACTGAATCAAACACAATGGGTTGCTTTAAGTAGTTAAAGTTAAATGAACAAATAACTAAAGTTCCTTAACTTTAAGGTACAATTCAAATTCATTTTTACAATTACATAATATTTACATTTATTCAAATATACAAATATCTACTTTTCAATATTAGTCATAAATATTTATTTTATAAATATAAATAGCTTCAAATTGTTATTCTTCTAATGCTAAATTAATAAATAGTTGAGCTTAACACCTAAATTCACTATTCAACAATACGACAATCAGTTCAATCATAAATATCAATCAATCAACACCGCTTCAGTTCAGGCGTGTTGTAGTTAATGATGTTGATGAGCAGGTAAACTGGAGGTCCGGCAGGAGGAACGTGGGTAGCTTTCCAGTCCAATCTCGTGAATAATCCAGCTCGTGTTTTACCGGGTGCCTCTCTGCCCGTCAACTCTCTGAGATGATGTCTCGTCTTTGTTTGGCTTTCTCTTCTGCTTTTTTTTTTTGTTTGTTTGTTTGTTTTCACTGCATTGTCCGTCCCTCGTTTAGGTCCGTGTGGAACACAGTGAGCGCATGTTTTTATTTTTTTCCTTTTTCTGATTTGACTTCACAATACTGTCTATAAATTTAGTAGCTCAACAAAAAATGTTGTCTTTATGACTGTCATTAATTCATCAAGTATTTCAATGTCTGATATATATATGCTTTTATTTTGAAGGACGTTTGTTTCGTTTATTTTCTTCTTCCTGACGTTAGTCAGCTGATCTGATTTCCGTTTTACTGTTTTTTTTTTAACTTTCTTTATTCCAATAAACAACAATACAATTGTATTGTGAACATGAATATAACACAGTCAGACAATAATAATACTTGACCAGGGGGAGCATCAGATGAAATTTTACAGTAAGAGAATGACATTACAGAATATTAACATAAGAGGTAATCCAGAAGTCCAAGTTGATTGCAAGCCCATATTGTTGACTCCGCTCTTTGGTTGGTTGAGGTATGAAATTTTAATAAATAACGTTTAAGTTCAATTAAAAAAACAGAAAAGTTTGGTTTTTTCTTCAAAAATTTGCATTTATGTAGATGAAATTTAGCCTCAATAATTATTAAATTGATAAGGAAACTTTTCACATTCATTCCTCCATTTTGTTGAAGTCCAAATAAGACATTTTCCCAATATAACTGAAAGCCTGTTGATATTTTGTAATAAATAAAGTTACAAAGACGTTGCTAAAAGACTTTAGAATGAGGACACAACCAGAACAAATGAGTGAGCGACTCTGGGCAAACGTCACAGAAGGAACAATTCACATCAATGTTAGAAGAAATTCAATTCTAACATTTCCGTTTTACTGTTGAGATCGGTGCCGCAGTCATTGAGTAGTGGCATTAGTCATGTGACATGAATAGGTAGATGCTAAATATCTTCACTGACGGAGTTGTTTGGCTACTGCTATATTTTTATAGTTTGTTAATGTCAGTTTATTCTTAATGTGTTTGATTTTACTAAAACTATCTAGCATTTAACGGTTAGTTTGAGATTTTGTCAAAAAAAAAAAAAAAAAAGGAATTTGCTGTTTTTTGACCAGAGCCCCTGAAAAAGAACTTGCTTAATGTCATCAGTTGATCTGGATGGCACGGCAGCTGACAGGTGCAAGGCGAAATGAGCTGCAAAAAGGTGAAATGGCACAGCAAATAGCGACAAATTAAACATGTAGAAAACAAAGGAAGCAGAAAAGTGCTGCAAACCATAAAAATGCTGAATAATAGAAAATAGAAATGCTGCAAATAGCAAAACCATTTGCAAACTCTCTTCACAAAATGGAAGTGAGCCGGAGAATCAAACAAAG